ATCCTAGTATTCTCTGCCATGATAGAAATACTGCGCCTCTGTCTCGCCACTCGATGTACAATATCTGCTGGTATGGTAGAGGATGGAGCGCTGCTGGTGCAATGTGGTTGCTGGTTGTTGTTGAGTTGGTTTCGCCGAAGACAAGCAGGGAACGTCCCGACAGCTCTTAAGATTCTGCTCAAACGTTTCTATATCTCGGTCTCTTGCTTTTGCTCCAATCCCTCCACAAGTTCCGAGCTCCTTCCCGTGCGAATGTTCAGCCACCGGAAGATAGCTTAGCCGGAATGTTCCTACCAGGGCTTCCGAAGCTGCCTCCGGACCTTGAAAGCACTACACGTCACTCTCAGTCGCAATAGCCGAAGTTTATCTAAGTCAACTCAGTAAGCACTTCTTCGATGAAACATATATCGGGAAGCTGTCGGCCCGAATACGTCCACGCCTGGGGAGCTTGCTGTTCCAAGGTTCTCAGCTACCGGCTGCACACCCCACCGTGGCGGGGCAACGGTTAGCGCCTTTCCATCTCAGCGCCCCACCGCCATCAATGAACGCGCGAGATCCGGCAAATGCGGAGTCGCGGAGTGTGGGTGAGCCGTTCTTACATCTTACTATCGCATCGGCTGTGATTGCACGATCTCGAGGTAAGCTGAAGACGCTGTGCTTAGAGATGTTGAAGATGCGCATGAGTCCCGACGCCAGATCGCTTCCACTGCGCGACAATATACCTCCAGGGACATGAACTGATGCTGCAGTTCCTGTAAAGCATTAATCGGGCGTCAGACTTGATGGCTTAAGCAGTTCGCGATCTTGCCAACATTATACCTTTACTCGTACATCATATGCCTGGTAGGCCTTGTCGCCCACTTAGAGCCGTGTCGATAGTCTCTTGTGGGCGTTCTCTTCAACGCTTGTCGCAAGGACGCGTGTAGAAAAGCCTAAGACAAGAAGAGCATAAAAAAACGTATGTTTTACTATCTCTTCATCGCGTTCCGATGGGAATCTGGGAATCTACATCGAGCCGCAAGTCGACTTCAGTCCCGTGGATACGCGATGGGGCTGCATACCCCGCGCTAGCTCAGGGTAGGATGTGGGGTGACTTCCCGAATCATCTCACGAGTAGACTGAGAATTTCGCATCTTTCGTGACTTCAACAACGATAACAGCTTATTCGTCGAAGGCTTTACGGACGACTGCTGTGTGATCGTTGGATCTGTGGTCAAAGACGAACAAACACCTCATCATTACGTGTCGCGAAGCTCACGTAGAGGAAAAGGGTTCACCCGAAACACTCTTTAATCTTCGGAACACGATCGGAAGACCAGCCCGAAGACAGCGTGACCTTCGGTGTCAGATAAATCACCTGGAGCTTGCTACCTCTGCAGTGGTGATCTAGAACAGTAGCTACGTGGAAAAGGCTTCTCCCTTTGGCCCAGCACACCTTCGTGGACAACAACTTCAGGACAAAGAGAAGTCCACGGACCTGAACACAGCGACCATCGATAATGGCTCGACGAAGCTCATTTGATCAAGCATCAGACGGCTTCCGGGCTCATCTTCCAGACCTCAGCAGTCCCCGCTTCACGACGGCCGCAAAGCAAAACATCTACGAATATGTCCAGTCAATGCAAGACAACCGCGCCCCGCCATGGCTGTACGATCTGACTAAAATTTGGGAGAAGTTGTTGGAAGAGCCGTACAAAGGCATCACGAATGACGGTACTGTTAGGGAGGGTCTATATCAAGCACGAGACGAAGGTGTAGATGTTGATGGCCCGGTCAAGAAGGCGGAGAAACTACTCACAGCTCTGGATAGCAACCAGAAGGCGAAGATTTCATACCCAATCAATGCCAGAGAGTGGAGGGCATGGAGTAACCCAGAGTTCTTACTGCGACCATTCGGGCTCAGACTCGAAGAAGGTAAGTCTCGAATTTACCGACGCTACGACCTGAGGCTAACTGCTACAGTGCCTGAGAATATTGCGCAGTCAATACTTGCAGTGGTAGAGGCATCTCTTTCCCCAGAAGGCTACGAAAAGGCTATCGCGGCCATGCGGGTGAACCATTTCTTGGGCGAGGTCGTCAAACTGCCTAATATCTTGAACAAGTACTCTTACAACTTCCTGCTGTTTGGTACGCCATCAACCTCCGCTTCTTTACCTTGGGGCTGGCTCCTCTATGGCCATCATCTCGACATTTCCTGCTTCTACAAGGGAAGCCAGGTTATCATGAGTCCATCGTTCACAGGTGCCGAGCCCAACATCATCGATGACGGAGAATGGAAGGGTACCAAGATATTACACAAAGAAGGCAGTCTGGGTTGGAAGCTAATGCAGAGTCTCAACCACAAGCAACAACAAAAGGCACAGATCTTCAAGAATATGAGAGATGAAGGCATGAAGCAAGTCTACGGCAACTCCAACAATGACGAGACTAAGCGAGATGAGCTCATTACCGATACGTGGGGTCCAGATGACCAGCGCCATCGATGCGGTGCCTTCCGCGACAACCGCATCGTACCCTACGAGGGCGTTCTGGTCTCTTCTCTCGACTCGTCACAACAAGAACTCGTCCTCGCCATATGTGAAGAGTTCCTGCTATATCATCCCACGAAGGCACGCCAACAAAAGCTCAATCAAATCAGACAACACTTGAGCGAGACCTACTTCTGCTGGATCGGGGGTTTCGGCGAAGACGACGCGTTCTACTTCCGTATTCAGAGCCCGGTTATCTTGGTCGAATTTGACCACCACTCCGGTGTCTTCCTGACTAACCAGGAGCCCGCAAAGTACCACACGCATACCATTGTGAGGGCACCGAATGCAGGAGATTACGGACAGGCTATCAGAGAAGGAAACGAAAAGTTAGAGTGAGCAGGCACTGGATGCAATGTAAATAGGGCGTGTCGCAAGGAGAGACGTGGTACCCATGTTGTAGATCTCCGTTGTGAGGCGCATGTTGAATTCATAGAGGCTGCAATAGCTACCATACCTAGCTTCCACTTCCAGGCGCCGGCCTCGTATCACCAACGAGATTCGTATACTTCACATCCACCTCAAGAACTCCAAACCATACATGTCGCCCATCCCTTTGCTTGAATCTCACTTCACCCTCCAAAGTAACGAACTCCGCTTCCTCACCTGCTGGAAGATAACTCTCGATTACCCGTATTAAGTCTTGTTTAGCAACCTGATGTCTACATTCATCTTGCTCACTAGCATCGCTTCCTGCAGCAACCGAATAGTGGATAGCAACTTCTTCTTGTGGCATAGTGGGAATCCCGGCTATTAGTGCGAACATGTTTCCGGCGTCATCATAGCGAGGAGTCTGAGCTCTTACGTACGTAAAACCTGGTCGTTTCTGCGTTGATAGATGATCGTAAGTCTCCACGTCGCCTTTGTAGGTTGTCGGATAGAGAGAAAAGCCGAGGTGGATGTTGGGTTTAGCTGGGATGTCTTTTGGCGTTACGTAGCGGACGATCACGTAGTACTTTTCTTCTACCTTGTAGGGGCCTTTGGGTGCCATGCTGAAGATGTTGACAGCGTAATCCGCGAGGGGGGAGTTGACTTATAGGCTCGGTGTTTGCCAAAGAGTAAGTTGGTCGGGCCCGGTGTGACACTACCAATCAGCTTGATCATACTATTCTCTGATGATAGCTTCAGGTGCCGATATGAACATCTAGATATGGCATCTATACGCAAAGGGATGAAAGACATGAGTGCGTGATGGTCCACTGATGCGACCTATGCCAAATATCTTCTACCGTCTACCTGCACAGCCTCATGCGGTGTGTGCGTTCACACCATGGATCTGGAATCTGACGTGATAACGCTGGAACCCCAAACCATAACGAATAATAGCTATTCTATCAGCCCAGCCATTGCCAGCATTGAAGTCTAAAGTCAGGTTGCCACGTGGCATGAGCTCCTGCACACTTGCTGCTACCACCTCGCGCAGATCCTGTTCGGCCTCCATGATCTGCCGTCTTGGGTTCCTGACTATCATAACTGTTGTCTCGACGTCACGGGCTATTTCTGCCGTGATCATAGCCATGCTCTTATCTCCATTGAAGTAAGGGTTAAGCACGCAATTCCAGTTGATATTTTGATTCGCAAAGAACTGGCGCTCCTCCAGGTTTTGGAACCGCTGAGACCGAACCCGAACAATCGGAATCAGGTCCTCACTTTGGTTTGTGGTGCGGGTAACCATGTAGACTGGGATGGACATATTAAGTATCTCGTGAAGGGGGTGGGAAGTAGCGCGAACACATCCATGAGAACCTTGGAATGGTCGGAAGGAATATACAAGTTGCGGGCTTGCTACATCCGGTCAGCTATCAGTCGTGCGTTCTCATGGTGGACAGCCGAACAAGTACCAAATGGCCTCCATCCGCACTGGAAGACTCCGTCACAAGTTTCCAAAAACTACCAAGCTCAATGCATGTGCGAATAGCAAAAACAATGCTGCAACCCAGGGTCGAACTGGGGACCCTTCGCGCGCACTATTTGTGTGAGGCGAATGTCATAACCACTAGACCATTGCAGCTTCTTCTGTTTGGCTACACAAGGATCCCGAAAGACTATAATACCTAGGTAGGTGTTAACGGCCGCTCCAAGACTGCTCAAGCTTCAGGAAGACAGTTTACAGTTATGAAGTGTATGGACTGAGGAAGCGACGGACGAGCAGTGGCAGGAGCAAGGAGGAGCAAGGAGTAGCGATGAGAAGCAGCGGATATCATGCAAATAGCTCTTTCTCATGACGGTATTTCAAGTCTTTTGATGAGTTTAGAGTGGCTGATTCCGTTGTCACTCAACACACCAGGTCATTCTCCCAAAAGGTCATTCTGGTTCTACTCACAGGTTCACCCATTCTGGTCACATGGCCTATTGCGAGCACGCACGACCGACTGCTTGCTGAGGTAGCAAGCTAATCCTGTGTATATGGACTGCGGTGGTCTTCATGAAATTAGCCCTTCATCTCGACCTCTTTACACAAGACAACGCAATATGCCCACAGTCCCAGTCTTTATCGTCATTCGCAGCACCGATGCGGTTGCTGACACTCCAACTATCCGTGTTGCATCTCTGCCGTTTTGCGATCCAGTCACGTATCCATTCATCACCGACATGGGCGTCATCTGGCATATGGTGGCCAATCCATTCTACGCTGGACAAGATGGTATGGCTATGATCACAGCCGATATGGACCGTGACGACAAGAGGACGGTCAAAATCGTTAATGATCCACGGTTGGAAATGGTAGACGCGGAGCGTGATTTGCGAAGACTTGTGGCTTCAGAACTGGAGGGACTCATGTTGATCGGTGGCGTGGATCTCAAGTACATCCCCGGTATGAATATTGATGGCGTCGAAAAGACGGGCGGTCTGGCCATAATTGATCATGGTTCGGGGCTCAAGCGACAGTGGACCAGGTATGCAATCAGACAGGTGGACGCACACTGCCCTGAGGTCGTGCCAGCGCACGGTAGTAGAAACTTTGAAGGTCCGAGTAACTAGTCAGTGGTTCGAAAGGAGTACCAAGCCTTCCCAATGGTATTTCTTCGTGAGTAAGTTTCGCGTATTGCAACGCAAGCAGGTGCAACAGTGCTTGCACCGCAAAGTCAAATTACCAGCCTGAAATTCTTAGATCCGGAGTGGGGCGTGTGCTCATTGTTGAGAGTCGAGACGTTGGAGAGTCATGGTCGGCTGCGATGCGGTCATGGTCTAGATCGCGATAATTTTCTTTCAATAAATCATTGTGGGCGTTAATGACGATGCAGATGCTGATGAAGCTGGTGGTGTTGACGCTGTGGTCACTCCACAGGACGAACAGGTTGCGGAGCTGCACGCTGACATCAGCGTCGCGGGAACCTCGGCCAGCCACGCGATGCGCGTGCTCACCCCACAATCGAAAGACTGCCATCTAACCACGATCAGCACACCACTAACCCCACATGGCCCAGTCCCGTCGTCTCAGCGTCCGATTGGATCTCGGTGGCAGCCGTTTCACCAGCCGAACCCTTTCCAGGCGGCACGCCAGGAGAAGCCGCGATACATGCGCGGCCGGGAAACCCTTTGAAGGGGAACACCCAGCGACCTGGTACGTCAGCGGCCTTTCGGTCTGGAGACGCGACGCGAGAATGCGTCGGACTAAGCTCATCAGTCCATTTGCGTCACGGAGCCCGGTGATGTCAAGTGCTGTGATTCGTCGTATGATGTACGGGTGTGGTGGAGAGACATGAGTGCACAGCCTACTTGTGACCTGCATTTCCCCGCACGAGGCTGTCGTATATACAGTCCGCATACGCCGCGCTTGGGACGTCTCACCGGAACACATTACACGTAGCAAGCCATCAATCAAACACCACACTACCGAAGTCAAACCGCGGCCGATACTTTCACACGTCTTGGCCATCACACCTACCAACGTCAAACACAACCACACCTGGGCACACCAAGCGACAAGATATAAGTCGCGCCAAAACTACCAACTCGAGGAACCATCACCATACTCGGCACTCCTTTCGCCACTATCACGCAACCATCAACATGTCTTTCCTCCTCCGCACATCTACCCTGGTACGCCAGAGGCTCTTCACCACCTCAACACGTGCTCGCAGTGCCATCTCCATGGAAGATGCCGCCGCAGCACAGATGACCTCCACCCCTGGTGCGAGTGTCGTCCCAAGGCTCGGAAGGGTAGCACGATGGTACGTTTCTTCCTCTATGAGATTCCTATCACCGCTAACAAAGACCAGGTATCTCCCGACCATGGCGGCGGTAGCCATTGGTATGATCTACCTTCCCAAGACCGCATCACAGCCTCGCCGACCCCTTACGCTCGGTGATGCTAATGCCAACATAGGCTTTGGCGTGACCAATGCACTCAACGAGGCCAACCGCAAAGTACACTCTGCGCTTGAGCTTACTCAAGAACAAAAGAACCAGATGCTCATGGACTCTTACGGCGAGCGCTCAAGCTTGGAGGACATGGAGCGGGCAATTGCTGGACTCGAGGCCAAGATGACCACCCAGAAGGACAGGAACAGGATCTTGGAAGAGGCATATGGCGACAAGGCCAGCCTTGAGGACCTCCAGAGGGCCATGGAGCTGTACGAGGTGCAGTGAATGAAGCAAGGAAGGGTGGAGAACCCGAAGAGCAGAACCCCAGCTTCGCGCCTTGGAGCGCACACACTACAGAGAAGAGAAGGATGAAGTCGCGCGCTGAATGCCGCGAGAGCCACACCGCCAGGCCACGAGCAGACACCGACATCAAACCAAGGTGTCTGGCTCGTGAACCTCGAGAAGTGACAGAGGAACATGCATTTCATTGTTGTCTAAGCATTTAGCGTTTTTGGCAATTCGTAACAGACCCTAACAATGGGCTACGATTTCGTACTATACCAATATCATCAATACCAATTTACTATGTTCAATACACAATATTCTCGTTCCTCGCTTTCCAGCCGATGCCAGCCTTGTTCGCTGCTCGGTGCATCTCGTCGCTCGACAATGTCCGACGCCCGACACGTGATCCGACCCGAGTTCTCCCGGCGGCCGCGCTCCATCACAACACCATCTCCGCGCTTGGGTACTCCACATTCCGACGTCGAGATACGAATGCCGTTGTGGAAAAGGGCCGAACAGCGCCGTGAACTGCATCGTGACAGGTCCGGACTTCGTCAAAATTAGGCCAGTTCGAAGATATGCTCACATTGTTACACGAGAGTTGTCGAAGTTCAAGAGAGTCGATACACGCGCTATTTATGCCTGTCTCCTTGCGCTTAGGTTTTATCCGTAATGACAAAGCTCCAGATTTCGCGCCACACTCCGCGTGCTAATCGTGCTGGTCTTCTCTCCAAAATCTGCTCTATCCGTGCTCTTTCGTTGTTTCTCGAAGCCTCCGCTTCCATCTCCTCCTGCATCATGGGGTCCATGCTTACACTGAGATGCACCTGCTCCTGCTTGAACGGGTCTTCAAATGTGCTCAGAGGACTCACGATGCCGTCATGCTGGGCATCCATCTCGTACGAACCGAACCGATGTCGCGGCACTGGAGGTACGGAGACTGGGCCTTCGAGTTCGATGCTGGAAAGATCTTCCAGGACGTAGTCTTCCACCGTGAGGTTGCGGAGGTCAACTCTGGATGTTCGGGGATATATGTACTTGTACGAGAGGTACAGAGATCCGAACAAGAAGGGGCCGATGTATGCTCCTAGAACGTCGAAAGCGAGGCTGATGGTGGACTTCAAGTTGTCCGTGGAAGTGAGACTGCCTTTCGCGACAAGAATGACCAGTGGTGGGACACCAGACCATATGAGAACGAAGGCGCTTCCGAAGATCCCGATATATGCAGGCAGTGGTTGCCATCGGGACTTGAACAGGCGTGACATGTAGAGCGGATGATTGCGACCGAAGATCTGCCGCCTCGCTAAGCGGTCAAGGCCAGCTTTGAAGCGCAGAAAGGTGATGCAGAGAGTGAGATAGATGCATGCCGCAGTACCTGTGTACAGTTCGGAGAGTGTGATGCGCGGCTGAGAGCCAGTCTTGTCGGCCAAGCCTATCAGTGACAGGAACCCGAGGGCTGAGCACAGCAAGATGGCCGCCAAAGGTGTATGTCCATTATTAGTCCGACCAAAGACCTTTGCGATATTTCTTGGAAGATACTGCTGTGAAAGCATAAACACGCTACGAGATGCGGCGTAGAGATCGGTGTTGGCTGTAGTATATGCCGAGATGATGAACAACCCGTTCAAAACCTTCGGTAGCGCGTGGATAGAAGACTCTTCGGCCGCGATTACGAACGCTGACTTCGTAGCGTAGTCGCCTCTCGCCCATATCTTCGGGAGCTGCGGGTCGGCGTAGTTGACATTTGCTCCAGCGGCTAGCATTGCAAATGGGTATATGCTGAGCGGAACGATGTAGACGAATGACATGGTGATGGGCACGTCCCTCCAAGGGTTCTTTGCTTCACCGACAGTCATGGCGACCAGGTCTGCTCCGAAGCAAGAAAACATGGCTAAGACGATTGAAGTGCTTCACAAGATGTTAGCTCTCTGCGGTATCGGGAGACGTGCTAGAAACCCACATGAGAGCGAATAGGGTGCCTCCGGGGCCGGATATACCGAAAGCTTCATCAGGAACGCCAGCCATCTTGAGAGAGATAGGAGTGGTAGTATTGTGGCCAATTGGCATCCAGTCCGATGTGAATCCGAAGGTCGTATAATCTGCATTGGTCAGCGTTGTCACACGCAGCCTGAAGATGTTGAACGTACTCGAATGGTGTTCTCCTTGTCTCGGGCCGCCGCCTTGGTAGCGTTAGACACATGGCTATGTTGCATTGAAGCGCGGAAGCATACCGGAGAAGTTCAAGACCACACCCATAACACATACAAGGACCAGTAAGCTCAGTTTGAACCACATGACGACCTAAGTGCTCGTCAGTTCGCTGTTCGTATCGAGAGCCGTCACCAGGGTGATCGAATCCGTGTCGCATGTTGCCGCATACAGATTGCTAACTCTTAGCAAGTAAACACCCTCTAAGCTAACGTATACTTCTAGCTTAGTGATGATTTTGTAAAATGCGGCACGGGTCGGAACTACCACTAGTGCTGTTTTGCTCAAGGTAACGTACTCGTTCGATCTTGCCATACAGCTAATACAACGTTAGCCAAGTCCGCCGTTGTGCAAGGGCATAGCTTACCTTGACGCCGAGGCAATGGGAAAGGGTAGTAAGGGCGATGAACGCGATATTGATAGCTGCCTCAGCACCGGCAGAATGCGGTTTTGGGTCGCTCTTCAGAAGCGCAGTCAGCTCCGCCGAACTCGCTGTAAGAGTAGCCATCGCACAAATCTTGCCTAGCCTAATGGTCGTCAGCGACGCCTTTCAGAAGTTTCCTATCGATACTCACCCGTACATAGATGCGATAGCAAAACCGCAGGCTGGGTCTAAGAACGTGTGAGGCAGATCAATAAGAGCTCCGGTCAACGGTCGGCATGCAACCATCTCAGTGATAGTGTACATAACGCAAGCAACAATACCACCTGCGACTACATAGCTAATAGCAGCTCCTAAAGATCCAGTGGTAGCGATCAGTGCACCGGACGTAATGAAGATTCCTCCACCTATGCAGCCGGATATGCCAATGCCTGAGAAGTTAGCAACCAGCACCTTTATTGATTCACTTCTTTGGCACTTACCCGCCAGTTGAGGCCTACTGAGAACACGGTCAAGGTGTTCTGAGTGGGTCACATAATATGGCGATCTGTCAAGGGGACGCTTTTCTTCAGCCATTTTGCGTGGGATTTCCAGGCGAATCCGCACCGAAGTACGATCTCGTCAGGCTGAGGATGTTTACGAACTAACTATGGAGGTTGACTGCGACCTTGAACTGGGAAAAGATGCTTGCGCGACGAATGCAAACCCTCGTGACTATTTGGCCTCCATTCGGCACGGCTTCAGCTTCACTCTCCAAACCACCTGTGGCGGGGCTTAGACCATACCGGTCGGCCTCTCT